TTTCACCACGGAGATTTCACCAACGAGACCGAAAAAGTAGTACACGCAGCTACCTACCTCCGAGGAAAGGCCCTCAAGTGGTTTGAACCAATCCAGGAAGAATACCTAAAATGCGAGACCCTCGACGAGTGCACTACCGAGACCCGCGACATCTACGCCAATTTTAAAGGATTCGAGGACGCGCTCAGGTCACTCTTCCAAGACCCCGACGAAAAGCGACAAGCCAAACGAGATCTAGCACAACTTAAGCAGACTAAGTCCGCCAAAGACTACTCTGCTAATTTCCGACAACTTAGCGTTTAACTCGACCTTACCGAGGAAACCAAGATCTTCATATTCTATCAAGGACTAAAAGACGAAGTCAAGGACGAGATCATCAAGATTGATCGACCTGACGACTTTCTCCAGTACGCCGAACTCGCCATCAAAATCGACAACCGGCTTTTCGAACGACGAAGGGAAAGAGGCGAAAAACGACAAAACCCTAACTTAGGACGTAAGTACCAGTAGCAGCCTCAGTACTAGTTTAACAACCAGCGAAACGACAATAGACCCCGTAACAACTAGAACAACCCCCGACAAAGTACTGCCTATAGTTACTATAGTAGACTAATAGACCTTAGTGCTATATAGAGAAACGATAAAAAGAATGATAGTTGGAAGAAAGATAGACAGTGCTATAACTGCTAGAAGATTAGATACCTAGCATACGAATGCAGGTTACCTAAGAAGGAACGCTTCCAACCGGTACTAGAGAAACGATAAGCGAGTATCGCTACGAAGACGATCCCTCATGAACAACTTAACTAGACTACTTGCTTCGATGACAACTGCTATATCCACTCTAGCAGTAAGGAATACGCAGGATGGTACCCCTAGAAACCTCAAGAACGATCTGGTTACGACACTACCAACGCACCTAAACGGACCCTCGCTGTGGGATATAGAAGCAACAGCAAAATCGAGCGCAAGACAATCGAATAGCTTGACAGTATAAACGATAACGAGGAATTAGAACAAGACAATTAGCGAAGACTAAACCTCCTCTACGCAGGACGACAAGCCAACCTGTAGCGGATTCAACAGGACTTACAAAACCCTATGTAGCAACGACAACTCGGTGCGCTAGACGCATACATCGAACGACGACAACATGCACAAGGAGATCCCGCACGGATCCGCCAAATCAACCAAGAACTAGAAGAACAGGTCGAATCAGAAACGACCAAGAACACCCCCAACGACTCGGAAACACCTCGCGATGTTGCCCGCCAACATGCCTAACTGGAAGTCGCCTTTGAAGTCGCTTCAGTCAACGACACCAGCTCTGGAGAGGACTCTGACGAAGAAATACAGTAGTATTACTGCTACCAAGACCAGTGCCGAGTCTACTATATCAAGAAAGACGAAGCATGGAAGAAACAGCAAGAAAACGACGAACAAGGAACGGACAAGCAGTTAAAAAACTAGACTTGCCTACCGAAGACAAGGGATAACGACAGGCAGTCCTAGACAAGGTCCCTATGTAGCGCAACGACGCCCACGACACAACGACACGAGCATATACAAGTCCAAATACAGCTCAACGGAAGAACAGCTACCGCCATGATCGACAGCGGAGCCCAAGGAAACTTCATATCACCAAGAACGGTGAATGAAAGAAAGATAACCTAGAAAAGAAAAGCAGCCGAAGACTGCTACGAACTCAGCACCGTTGAAGGAGAACAAGTCTAGTACGGCGGAGGACGCATTGTTATGGAGACAGCGCAACTCCCAATGCAGATCCATGGCCAGAATGAGCGACTCAACTTCGATATTACGGAGATAGGAGACAAGTACGATGTCATCCTTGGAAGACCATGGTTATACGACAGTAACCCACGGATAGATTGGAGAACAGGCCAACTCCATTGGGACCAGGATTCAGTTACTGAGAAGCAACTACGGAACGGTGCCTTAAACGAACCTCTCAAGACTCCTGAAGCGAAGAGATTTCTAGCATACCTACGGATCAAGGATGCAAACGCCAGGACGTTATTAGCAACAGACATCGGCAAGGAAGACCGACTTCTGTCTATCCCAGAAGAATACCGGCAATACCAGAAGCTATTCGCCGAAGAACTCGAGACCGGACTCCCGGAACACAGCAACTACGACCACGAGATACCCCTTAAGGAAGGGAAGGAGCCAAAGCTAGAAGCAATCTACGGACTCAACCAGAAAGAAATGGAAGCACTCGACGCTTACCTCGAAGAAAATCTACAGAAGGGATATATCAGACCCTCTATATCACCAGCGGGATACCCAATCCTGTTCGTACTAAAAAAGAACGGCAAACTACGACTCTGCGTCGACTACCGGAAACTCAACGACATTACGATCAAGAACTGCTACCTACTACCGCTCATCTCCGAACTACGAGACCTGTTGCACGGAGCACAGTGGTTTACAGCACTCGACCTAAAAGGAGCCTATAACCTGATCCGGATGAAATCAGGTGAAGAATGGAAGACAGCGTTTCGAACACGCCGAGGATATTACGAGTACCTTGTGATGCCCTTCGGACTCACCAACGCACCCGCGACATTCCAGACGATGATCAACCACGTCTTACGAGAATTTCTAGATGTGTTCGTCGTAGTTTACCTCGACGACATCCTAATCTTCTCCAAGACTCTGGAAGACCACAAAAAACACGTACACCAAGTACTGCGGAAACTGCAAGACGCTAAACTCCTAGTAGAACCCGAGAAGAGCAAGTTTCACGCTAAAGAAGTCGAATTCCTAGGTTTTACGATAGCCCTAGGAATCCTCAAAATGTCTAAAGACAAAATCGTAGCAGTACGAGACTAGCCTATACTACAGAACGTTAAGGACGTACAATCCTTTATTAGATATGTAAACTACTACCGACGGTTCCTAGAAGGGTACTTAGACAAAAACGACCCTCTCACGAGACTCTCGAAGAAAGATGTTCCCTGGCAATGGGAAGAAAAACAAGAACAAGCCTTTAACGAGATCAAACAACAAGTCACATCGGAACCAATACTTGTTATACTAAACCCCGAGAAACCATTCGAAGTCGAGACCGACTCCTCAGACTACGCTATAGGAGGACAACTAGGCTAACGAGACGACGAAGGACGACTACACCCTTGCGCCTTCTTCTCACGCAAGTTATACGGCCTAGAACTTAACTACCAGATATATGACAAGGAACTTATGGCAATTATCGAGGCATTCAAAGAATGGAGACCGCAACTCTCAGGAACTAAGTACGAGGTTAAAGTATACACCGACCACAAGAATCTCGCACACTTCACCACATCGAAAGATCTTAACAAACGACAAATTCGATGGTCCGAATTCTTGTCAGAATTCAATTTCAGAATCATCTACCGGAAGGGCAAGGAGAACGGCAGGGCCGACGCCCTCAGCCGAAGACCGGACCATGAGGTCCAGGTACCTGAGGAAACCCGAGTTATCCTCAAAACAGACAAAAACGGAGACCTTGTGCCAGCAGCCAGACTCTTAATGATGGCCAGAAGAGACAGTACCAGCACGACTGGAAGGATGTCTCCTGAAGCCATTAGGGAGATACACTCCGCACCCGCACATGGTCACCAAGGCGTAACCAAAACGTGGAAACGCATCCGTCAATACTACGACAAAACGGCTACACGACAAGAAGTATCTTTAGCGATTAAGGACTGTGAGGTTTGCGCAAAAAGCAAACCCAGCCGACATTAGCCTTATGGAAAGATACAGCCGCTCCTAGTGCCGCAAACCGTATGGGAATCTATCTCGCTGGACTTCGTCACTAAGTTACCTAAGTCCCGAGAACCGATGACTAACGTCTACTACGACAGTGTCCTCGTCATCGTCGACAGACTTACAAAGTATTTATACTTTATTCCGTATATGGAGTTAAGCACTGTAGAAGACCTTGCTTATAAGTTTCTGTAGGTGATCGTAAGCTAATATGGAATGCCGAAGGAAATCGTATCCGATAGAGACAAGCTGTTTACTTCCAAGTTTTGGAGATCCCTGATCTTGCAGCTAGGATCTGATTACAAGATGTCTACCGCTTTCCATCTGCAAACCGATGGCCAGATAGAACGAATCAATTAGATCATGGAAACCTACCTACGCTGCTACGTTAACTATTAGCAAAACAACTAGGTCTAACTGCTACCTATGGCCTAGTTTGCTTACAACAGCGCAGTAGGAGAAAGTATAAAAGAATCACCATTCTACTTGAACTACGGATTCAACCCGACAGCCTATGGACAACCCCGACAAGGCCCAACAGCTCTGAAAGCTGTGGCAGATATTAACAAACTCAAGGAAATCTAACGAGATCTTCCTAGAGACCTTGAATTTGTGCGCGAACGCATGTGCAAATACGCTGACAAGATAAGAGTTGAGGGACTAACTCTGAAGGAGGGGGATAGCGCATACCTTCTCCGCCGGAACATCAAAACAAAACGACTAAGCGATAAGTTAGACTTTAAGAAACTTGGACCCTTCGAAATTACGAAGAAGGTATCTAACGTTAACTTCAAACTCGCACTACTAGACACTATGAAGTGTCATCCAGTTTTTCATATTTCACTTCTCGAGCCAGCACCAAAAGGATCACGAACTATAGACTATATCGAAGTCGACCCGGAACAGGACTACGAGGTCGAAAGGATCCTCGATCATATCGATTAGTACGATGACATAGAAATATAATACCTAATCAAGTGGAAAAACTACGGACACGAAGAAAACACATGGGAACCCGTATCAAACTTAGAGCACGTATAAGAGGAACTTCAAGAATACTAGACGCAATGGGAAACACGACAGCACGCCAAAGTCATGCAAAGACTAATACACAACCCTCGCGTCAGAAACCCTTAACCTAAGTTTCGACCAACCAAGAAACCCCAGGGCAACAAAACGTTTCTTCGCCTAGGAATACCTAGCCCTGAGTAGCCGAGGAACCTCCAACACTCCCCGCACCCGCGCCATCCACTAGAGGACCCAAACCCACAAACTCGTCACCAAAACCAAAAAGGGACCAAGGAGGATTATTCCCGAGACCTACTGCCTGGAGGTCACTAACGACGAACCTCTCGTGAGCATCCAAGGCAGGTAGGACTTCGTCGTCCGCCAGGACGCTATCCTCCCTGTCAACCTCCTGCATACCACGCTCAAAAACTTCGGTCTGCCGCTCCCGAACCATCTTACGGACCGTCCGAATCCGTTTCAGACGACCTGCAGCATCCGCTATTTGAACTTGCAAACGAGCAAACTCTTGATGAAGCGCGAATAGCTCCTCACCCGCTTTCTCTTCTTTCTCATCCCACTCCTTTTGCTGAGAGTTCAACTTCTGAACTAGAAGCAAACATTAGCAACCCCCAGAACAGCGAAAACACAAAAACACGACTTACGAGTAGACGCCACGAGGACGCCGTCACAAGGTTTCTTCGCCTCGATGCAAGTCCTACAGCGTGTAGACTTCTCGCCAAAACGACACGGGACCTTTGCACGGAAACAACGAGTGCAAGGCATGTCGCTAGCAATCGATCGGGACTCCACGTATTCAATAAGCGCAGCTCTCTCACGATCTTTTATCACAGTCAAGTGCGACTTTGTCTTTCGAACGCGACCTGACATGGTGTCAGCATCATGAAAAACAAAGGAAGCAAATTTGTGGATCCCCAACCTGGGACTAACGACCTACTTATACTCAGGTCTCGAGGACAAGACCTTTAAGAGGGGAGCTGATGTTACGACCCGACAGTTAACAGACCACTGACGACGACCCCGCAGGGGCTCAGCGGTTATAGGGACGGCCGTCAGCCGTTACGTCGTAACAACCCCACGGAACGGAAGAACTAGGATACAGGTCACGTGACGATAAGCAGGACCGACGGATGATAAGCGGTCCTGGGACAGGACCGACGGTAAAAACATCAACAACAGCGAGAACGAAATTTTTGAAAATCGGAGCAAAAACGGCCCCAAATACGCGTGCTCGCGGCCACAGAGCCCCCTTCGATGCAATGCCATCCTCGGCCTTGATTCTACGTCCCAAAGGGGCCCAAGATGGCCGCAGAGCACGCCCCGACTACAATGAAAAACTTGAGAGCAAGCCGCAAAATACGACATATCAATAGACAACACTGTTACCACCACCACAGGCGAGCCACAAGCCGCTACACGAAGCACTAAGACTGCGCCCAAACAATCAACTTCAACACAACAGCCGCCGACAGGTTTTGGGTCACCTG